CATCATATATATATATATATATATATATATAGGGATGCTTTTTAGATCCTAAATATTCGGGATGTAATCAATCTTAAATTTTGGGGATGTAATCTCTAAAACCCAAAGACTTGTCTTGACAAAAAAAAAAAGAATCTGAAATATATTCTGTATACTAGAAAAAACTAATTTTGAAGTGAGTATGGCCCAAGTCTAAATTATTGTATAATTTCAATTGAATCTCGATTGAATAGGCTAGTCGAATCGACCTCAGATTCGGACTTGGAATTGGCGAGTTCAATCCCGAGCCCCCGGCTTCAAACACTGCACGGTAAATCCACAACATGAAAACTATACTCATTCTTGGTCAAAGACAAATACCAACATCCCATGTTTAAAAAAAAAAAATTAAAAAAAAAACTACATAAAATATTAAATGGGTGAGGTTTGTATAAGTTTACCACCTTACTTTATACATTACTTTATACATGTACGGCTTACCTCCAAATTTTATTGAAAGATGTAGTTCCATTATTGGAAACCTTACAATGGATTGAAAATCCATGTCTAACACCAATTATAAAATTCAAAATTCCGGAAATAGTGTAGATTGAGCCTATCTAATGACACTTAGAAAATCTTGAAAATAGACTGTCTAGATTGCTTGTTAAAATATGCACTATTTTGAGGGCTTGAAATTTTATTTTTTACTTTTTTTTTATATTCATATATTTTGAGATCGAGATGACAAATTTGAAGGTTTTTTTAATTTGCAACACTCTTTTCCAATGAATTTTTGAACTGTACAATCGGTACAAAATTACAACCTTATATAAACTTTTTCCATATTGAATATTTTTAGAGCATATTGGTAGGGCATACCTCATATGCAGCTTATACAAAACAACACCAAGCCAAGGAACCCGAGAAAAAACCAAAAAATATAGAGAGACGTAAGTGGAGATCGAGGTATATATTAGAAGAGGGGGTAGAGTCTAGTGACATTACGAAAAATAGTTTTATAAGATATGAATTGAAATAAGATAGTATTTTACCTATGAATGTGATTGATTATAGGACAAATACTTAATCTCATAGATAAGCTTTTTGTTGGTCAGAAATTTCGATATTTTGGTCCATTTTACAATTTAATTAAGAAGATAATACGGACCATCTATTTTTAAAATTTGAAATTTATTGCAAATCTACTCGATTTGGACTGTTTTTTTAGCTTTAAATTTCACAATTATGGGTGTCAATTGATTTTCATGTCATCACATGGCTTTTTGGCCTAGTTTAGAGGTTTGCCTTACTTTTATTTTGAGTGCGAGTTTTGTGTAATTCGGGGCAACCCTCTAAACTATGCCAAACAGTGTAGTTCCAGTGCCAGAAAGCCTTGCAAGACTTGAACCTCTACTGTCAACCCTAAGCATGAAATTTGAAGTTTTAAAAAATGTGTTATTTAAGTAAATTTATAAACAATTAAAAATTTAAAAAATAAATTGTCTAGATAATGTATCATTTAAAATCAACCTTTTTTATATACGTATTTTTTAAGGTCGACATAATCAATCTGAAAGGCTTTACGTCGAAACAACCTTTTTTATGAGCTTTTGAGGTAAACCGTACATCAACAATTTAAGGTTGACATCCTTTAAATGAAGCTTTTGTGGGAGTATAGGGCTATTTTGGGCGACAGTGCTTCATGGCTCGTGATTTGAAATCCCATTCTGCCTGAAGAAACCCTTTTGACAATCACTAATCGAACTCATCCCACGATGCTTCTTATGTCACTTTTTACTGATAGCAAATGTCCAAACCAGCCAAACGTTTTTTTTGGGTAGTTCATACGTTAAAATATGCCTTTCCCACGATAGGAATGGAACTTAAAAGATATTAGATTATAACGGTCCGCTATCCGGATTGCCACTCCTTGACCCCATTTTTAAAACCAGTTCGCCAACCTCAATGAAGGCAAAAGATACGGCAAGAATTTATTCTGATAAGGTTTTTTAAAACATGATAAATCTATATAAAATAAAAATAGTTACTAGATTTCCATATTGGGTTCCATTAGAAATATGTTATCAACAATAATGGGGCCCACAAGATACTAATAACCAGTTGAAACCTGAAATTTCCCAATTGATTTTGAAATTTTCCAATTAGTTTGGTCGTGAAAAGTTGAGTATTTTTGTTTTTTACCCTGCAACTGGTATTGTATATTATAAGATCATTTACCATTGGTACAATTTGATCTAAATTAATGATAACCCCATCAAATGTTATATTTGGACGCTAAGGGAATGTTACCAAGTCTGAACAAACCCATTTGAACATTGAGCCGAGTTAATGGTATACCTCGAAACATTTAATTTTTAATTTTCCGTTAGATTTGACATTTGATGGCTAGAAGAAGCAGCCCTTCTTATATAAAAACTAGATAGTTTTAGGGTATATTAGCTCTTCTTGTATAAAAACTATGTGGCATTTTTTAATCAAAAAATTCTATGCTAGCGTAGGAGCACATTGTTCATTTAGTCTCATGGATAAACCCGACTGAGGAGTATTTTGGGACCTCGAATTTTTAGTCTTTATCCTCTTAAACTTGACATCTAACTAATTTGCTTTGCATTTTTTATGTAATTAAAGAAAATAAGAATTTTGTTTGAATATATACCGTCAAAATTTCAGAGAGTGATATCTTAGGGTTGGAGAACTCAAAATCTTTAATCTGTTTTTTGAAAATAATAATCTAGAAATTATTAGTTCGATCCCAAAATTTCAGATTGGATAAATCCCCACAACTGCTCTTCCACCCCATAGAGTAAGTGTACAGTATGCCCACGCATAGCAGCACAATAGATACAAGTTGACAACAAAATAAATTAAGTGCTATATAATCCTGTGAATGTTCAAGTTCTTCACGGGTCGCAGGAAATCAACTTCATAGCAATAATCAATTTAACAAAAAACATGAGAGCAAATATCTGTTGGGTCAAGAGACATTTTGGACCTTACACAAAGGGATTATTTAGGCCTGCATGAAAATGAGTATTTTGGTCCTTACTTACACAAAGGGATTAAAATGTGCCACTGGACTACAAATCAATGGGTGTGCCCTAGGAAGTGTCATTCCTCTCCCTTCCTCCATGTCAACTTTATTCCCACCCATATCTTGGCTTGAATTATGTACCCTGAAATCAAAGCATTGGATCAATGAGGCTAGGGCAGTTTGCACCACCAATAGAGCCAAAGAAGTGCCAGGGCACATCCTCCTCCCACTCCCAAAAGGCAAAAAATGGAAATTCTGTCCTTTGACATCCACATTAGATCCTCCACTCTCTACAATGAACCTCTCAGGTTTGAATTTAAGTGGATCTTCCCATGAGTTGGGGTCTCTCCCTATAGCCCAGACATTTACAAAAATGTGAGCTCCTTTTGGTATGTCATAGCCCCCTACCTTGCAATCTTGGGTTGATTCCCTTAGAATTAAGGGCCCTACGGGGTATAGGCGCAGGGTTTCTTTCACAATTGCTTGTAGATAAGGGAGATTAGGGAGGTCTGATTCTTCTACCACTCTCTGTCTGCCAACCACTGAAAATATTTCATCTCTCGCCATCGCGAATATGTTGGGGTTGTTTACAAGCTCTGCCAGTGCCCACTCCATTGTTGTGGCTGATGTATCGGTCCCAGCTCCGAAAATGTCCTATTGAGAGAAAACATTTCGAGGAAAAGATGAGGTTGAAATTTTGATGCACATTATAGAAATGTTCTAAAAAGAAAAAAAGATGTTCAACTAGATAATGTTGTGGACCATTAAAGCATGTTGTGAGACAATATGTGCACGAAGCAAGTCTATAGGACATGCTTTGGGCGGTTGCTTGGGGCAGGTAGTCATATGTGATGAACTTAGAGGGTACATAGCAAGGGGCATAGTCAACACTCATATGTTGTGCATAGAAGCTCTGAACCAGACGGACTGATTTTTTGGCAAATAAAAAATAGAACATGCAACAAGCAAGAAAAACAAATTAAGAAAGAAATAATAGAAAAAAAAAATGCCAGAATTTACATGATTCGTCACGAATGTGACTATGTTCATGGGCGAAGACGATCGATAATAGAAAAAAGAACACCAGAATTTACGTGGTTAGTCACATCCCTTGTAAATCTTAGTGTTCTTTTTTTCTGTTATTTCTTTGTTGCTTTATTTTTCTTGCTTATTGCTGATTCTATTTTTCTCGTGCTTTATTTGCTAAAAATCAACTTGTCGGATTCAGAGCTTCCGCGCACAACATTATCACTTTATCAGGGCTGGTTTTCTTTAAAAAGGCATGGCCGCCTGATTTTATGGATAGAAAATAAGCCTTTGTTTAAAGGTTGAGAGTAATATAGGGCCTGGGCTCTATGTTTAAAATCAAAGTTGCACCATAAAACCAGGCCAGAAAATGGAGTTCTGATGTTAAAAGGCCCTATAATGGTTTGAAATCTCTCTCAATTTCTGATTAAGAAAATTGAAGCTCAAAAAAGTAGCAGATCGGGTTGAGCTATCGACACTTGAAAATGGATAGTCTAAGAATAACTTACAAGATACACTATTTTAGAATTTGAAATCCTTTTTTTTTTTTCATATCAATAATTGATGAGGTCGAGACTATCAATTGGAGGCTTTCTGATGCTAGAACTACATTTTCTCGAAGGGATTTTCAGTTGCAACTTCATTTTTATTGCAAAGCCTAGGCCTTTATAAATTTTTCCCTTGTTTAAAAGGTAAGACCCTTACCTTTTTAAGTGCATACTTAGGGTGACGGATCAAAGTAGATGTTTAAAAAGTGGGCCTGAGTTCCCCTAACCTGACTCGGAATTGAATGAGCTGGATCAGGCAATTTTCAAAAGGAAGCAAGGATAGGGAGACTCAGATGCTTTTCGATTTTTCAATCCAGACCGGGAAGTTTTTAGACACTGGTTCAAAACTCATAGTAGAAAGGCATTATTTCAAAAAACATAGTCATAAAAGGATATTTCTTACCAAAACAAAGGCTTTAATATTCTCCCTTGTCAGCTTCATCTCTGCCCCTTCATCTTTAGATATCCTTAGGAGAATATCAACCATGTCTTGGGGTTCACCCCCATTACTCTTCTTCTCTTCATGCTCTTTCAAAATTCTCTCCATCATGTCATCAAGTCTCTCATGAACTTTCTTAAATCTCTTCTCAAGGCCCTGTAAATCCATGTTCTTGCAAAAAGAAATGAAGTCAGCCAAGTTGAAAGTACCTACAAGCTCAGCACCTTCCTTAAGCAAACTCCTACATTCATCAGCCTTATCCTTGGCTCCTGGGCAACTAGTACTCATTGTCATACTACAAATTATGTTATTTGTCAATATTGCAAGCTCACTGCCCATATCCACATCCTTTCCCTCTTGAGACTTCTTGAACAAATATTCCAATAAATGTTTTATCTCTTGTTGCCTTATGGATTGGAATAGCTCTAGCTGCCTCCCCCCAAGAAGCTCCATCATGCAAATTCTCTTCATATATTTCAAGTAAGGGCCATAAGGTGCAAATATGAAGCCAGCAGAGCCATATGTCAGGCTCTTGACCGCCTTTAATTGAGGCCTTGAAGTAAAAGCGCGTTCGTGGGTCTTGAGGAACTCCCGAGCCATGTCAGCTGATGAGACCACGATCGAGAGCATGGAGCCGAGCCGAACTTGCATCACCGGGCCATACTTCCTTGCTAGAACGTGGAAGGCTTGGTGCGGGATTGGGCCCAAATGATGGAGGTGCCCTATAATTGGGAGGGCCATAGGACCAGGAGGAAGCTTAACCTGATCTTTTTTCATGAGGGATTTGATAAAATACCTCACTATTAAAGTGGAGATGAGCCATGTGATGAACATTCCAAGATATGCTTGTGTGTCCCCTAAAAAAGCCATGTTCATATAGGAAAAGACTTGTGATTTGCACTCTTAAAGGAAAAGATGTGCCTGTAAATTGATGATATGAAGAAAGGCTTGGCTTAGGAAAGTTTCTTTGAATTGGGATTTCAATATGGGCTTCAATTATATATAAATGCATAGAGGAAAATAATATGTATATTTTTTAAATTAAAGAGTTGGGCTTGGTTGTTTATGGTTGTTATAAGATGCTATAGGGCCCTTGTTTAATAGTCTCTTTGCAGTAGAATTTTTTTTTTCTTATATTTCTCCCAAAATTTCTACTTGAGGCTTCATCTAATCTTTCCTTGAATCAGGTAAGTGTTGCATTAGACGTTTTCTCTAATCTTCTCTGGACATAAGTATGTGGTTGATCTTTCCCTATCTTGGTTGAGTTATGCTTAGTATGGGGTCTCTATGTATGAGTTCCAATGAATTAATCTTAAAATGAATTATCTACGATTACGTTTTGAAATTGAGGGGTATAAAGGTATTCAGGCCAGCCGAAAAAAATATTTTAAGTGAAAAAATTCATAGAGTGTAAGCTATTCGTTTAACAAAAGAAAATAATGCCATTTGATCACGTCCCAAAAGTGATTTGCTTGATTCCAAGTTTTGTATTTTTTTTTTTCTTTTAAGACTAAAATCTTGAAAGAGTTGCTATTTGCTTTGCTCTAGAGAGTAAATATTAGTGATTTTTTGTGTCTAAATCTAAAAGATCAAGTCGATCATCCATCTCAAAAGTTTGACATTGCCATTTTGCTTTGAATATAATAATGGCATCCGTTTACATTCAAAAAACTAAAAAATAATAATAGCATCCGCATGGTAGGTATGATGGTAACATAGCAATAATGTTTAGAGGTCAATAAACTATAAAACACAGTGCATATCAAGGGAATATAATAAAAAATCAAAGGACAGGTATGAAGTATGAAGTATAATATATCAAAGCGTGATTCAAGGAGCCTTCCTCACTAATGGAATCTTAGGTTTTTGAAATAATAGTGAGGGGACAAGGTAGGAGCAAAATAACATCGTATCGTGTTGTAGGAAGCTAAGGAATATTAAACGGAAAAGTATATAAAGAGATCATTTATTTGCAGTATAAGGAGGTCACAATCATCTTTGTTCATTAAAATTTGAATCCGATGGTTATAAGTGTGTCATTTACTGGACTCAAAGTTCAAAAAAAAATTAAAAATTTCATGACACAATTCAAACCATCCAATTTGACATCTAATGGCTAGGAGTGTTTTGTGACCTTATTGTAAAAATAATTAATGGTCTCATAGTATATAATCCCATGTTTTTTTTGTTGGATGAATACAATACCATGTTAAATAGCGTGTAACATGGTTTAAGCTGGAGTGTTCTCCTTGCATATTATAAAAGAATGTAAAATAAAGCTCACTTTTTTTATCTAGGAAATTCATCATAATATACGTGAGACTATTTAATATTTTATCTATATCTTTTGATTTAATTGTAAAATACCTATCAAAATACCTACGACCATGTATTTTGTAATAGTTGAAAAAAGGTAAACTGTTAAATTGTTGAAAAACTAAGGACATTGTGATAGATTTCTCGATGTCCTATATGAAAAAGTAACTGCGAGCTTCTTTTTTTTCTGTTATACAAGAGAGAAAGTGTGCAAAAATGTATGGGTTATAGGAAAAAGAAATGCTCTGGTTGAGGGCTTTCTCCCCTATCCAAAAATAAATAAATAAATGCTCTAGAAAAAAAGTGCTATGGCCATTATTCCATCAAGAAAACCAAGCTATATAGATGAAATGACTAATGACTAGTGGGATTGTCTCCCTTACACTTTGATGTACCTGTTTTTGGGTGAATTAGTGGGGATGACAGGCTTCGGAGTTCTTATGGGATCTGGTGCATTAGTGCGGGCCGCACTTTCTTTGATCTACGGTGCCTACTAAACCGTCTATGTAGTTATCCTAGTTCCACTTGACGTAATAAACAACCATTACACGCCTTAATCATTTTCTTTCTATTTAGAAAAAGTAAAAACTTAATATAAGGTTGCACCTCACATTATGGAAGTAAAGTGCACATCAAAAAATCAGTAAAAAAATAGTGTTCCAAAGTTGGAAAATCTTCTAATTAATCACCTCCACCTCTAGATACAAGATATAAAAAATAAAAAATAAAAAAATAATATATAAAATAAAAATAATAATAAAAGAATTTAAGTCCTAAAAATAGGGCATCTTCTAACATGGTATCTGCATCATCTGTTTTCAAGGTTTTCACTTGTTTATAGATCTGCTCGATCTGTATTGTTTTTTAAAATTTAAAATTCGTAATTATTATGATGTCCTATACGAAAAAGTAACTGCGAACTTTTTTTGTTATACAAGAGAGAAGGAGAGAAAAAATGTGTGGGTTATAGGAAAACGCATAATGAATGGAGAAAAAAAATGCTCTAGTAGAGGGCCTTCTCCCCACTTAATTATCCAACCGCGGAATTACATAGTCCGGCAAAATTTAGAGGTACGCCTTGTATAGTATGAGGTGGGCACGTTATACAAACCTCATCCATACTTGTAACAAATGAAGTATTTAACACTCTACCTAGTTGCAACTAATTTATTTTTTTATAGGAATTTTGTAACTAAAACTAAAATAAATAGATAAGGTGTTATATTTTAATGAATATTTTGAAATTAAATCAAAATATATGGATCGATCCCTTCTTTTTAAATTACACCCCCAAAAAAAAAAAAAAGAAAAAAAAAAGAAAAAACAAATTTTAAAAAATTCCATGCCCCCTCCCTCTCTCTTTCCCTCTAGCGTTTCATTTCAGTGCCTCATTTTCTTCTGTTTGTTTGTCTGTCATTGTTATTCTCTTTCCTTTATATCCCACTTGTTCTCATGGATAGGGTTGGCAACAGGTCCCTAGATTGGCCATGTCCAAATAGGGCCAGCTCAGGCCGACCTGGTTTGGAACGGGTTAAGACGCCCTTAGGCCCATCCCCAACCCTATCCGAACTAGGCCATGACATGCTTAATAAATAAATTGAAGGTTTTCAACACCAGAATTACATAATCTATCAAAATTTAGACATACTCCTTATTTTGTATAGTATGAGGTGGGTACATTACACAAACCCCGTCCATACCTATAACTGATGAACTATTTAACACTCTACCTTCTTGCAACTATTGCAACTCAAGATGACTAATTTTCAAATGAGTATGGCCCAAGTTCAAAATACTTGTATATTTTCAATTGAAACTCGACCGAGTAGTGATGCAATATAAAATTACGTGGCAAACAATATCAATAAAATTAACCACGTTTAAGATAGAGAAATAAAAATCGTGAAGAAAATCACAAGAAGAAAGAAACAAAACGAGCGGATACAATTATTCCGATACGTGCCCATAAACATAAGAGAAGAAACAACACCCCACAAATGGACTTCTCTCTCTCCAAAAAACACTTTCTTTATTCTATAAAATTCAATTACTTACGTGCCTCCTTGTTTTATACATTTAAATCACCATCTCACGTGACTTTCAAAAGATAATCCCTAATATATCTCACTATTAAAACAAAATATGATAATTAACCAAAATAAATCTATCTCTAGATTGTTTCCATATGCTTCTTAACTACAACTCCCTACTTTATCCTTACACCTACTTACTCATTATCTAATAATATCTTTATTTCCTAAAAACTTTCCTAACTCAACCTTATCCTTTTTAATAACTCAACCTTATCCTTTTTAATAGATAGCCTTAAAGCAAATTCGAATCCTTCTTCCTATCCACGTGACCGCTATTCTTTTAATCTCACGTCAACATTTCAAATAAAAGATGAACATCAATCTGAGATCAATATACCTAAAATCAACTCACGCAAGAAAACGAAAGGAAACAAAAAAAAACGACTTGTCAATTTTTAAGACTTAAAATTATGCACTATGCACTATCTTTAAGACTTAAAATTACTTCTTCCTTTATATTCATTGTTTCGAGATCAAGAAGATCAATTGGAAGAGCACTCTTTTTCAGTGGATTTTTTAGTTGCACGTTACTTTTATAGTATAAAGTTCCAACACTAAACAATCGGTTAGAGGTTTGCCTTTTATTTTGAATAAAAAAAGGCAAACCTCATGTGCACATTACACATAACAATTCTAAGCCAAGGAAGCTGAGAGAAAAACCAAAAAATGAAGAGAGGTAAATGGAGAATTGATATTCATGTCATCATAAGGCTTTTCGGCAAACGAATTGCATCATACAACATCGTTTAGAGGTTTGCCTTTTATTTTGAGCGTGAGTATTGTATAAGGCATCATACAGAGTAAGGCACACCTCTAAACTATGCTAAAAGATACAGTTCCGATGCCAAAAAGCCTTGCGCGAAATGAATATCAATTGTCAACCCTAAGTTTAAAATTTAAAGCTTCAAAAAAGGTGATCCTTGAGCAGATCTATAAGAACAATTCCAATAAGGCTTTCTACATGGAATCAATGCTTTTTATGTGCTCGAGAAATCCTATGAAAAACACAATCGCCTGCCAATTCAAGGCTTTCTGCGTTCAATCAATCTACGTAGAGTGAATCGGTCCCTAAGGAAGACTAAAGGAAACAAGCATTTTGTTTGAATATATAGGGTCAAATATTTAGAGAGTGATGTCTAAGGGTTGAAGAATTCAAAATCTATGGCTTGTTTTTTGAAAATAATCATCTAAAAATTCTTAGTTGGATCCTTAATTTCAGATCGGATAAATCTTCACAAGTGCTCTTCCACCCAAGTGTACAATATGCAGGAAAACAAACACGCGAGCAAATGTCTCTCAAGTCAAGTGTGGGAAGTCACTATTTTTTCTTTGTCAAACCCAGCATGAAAATGATTATTTTGTCCCTTACACAAAGGGATTAAAAATGTGTGACCGGACTACAAATCAATGGGTGTGCCTTCCTTTATCCCCACCCACTTCTTGGCTTGAATTGTGCACCCTGAAATCAAAGCATTGAATCAATGAGGCAAGGGCAGTTTGCACCACAAATAGGGCCAGGGCACATCCTCCTCCCACTCCCAAACGGGCCAAAGATGGAAATTCTGTCCTTTAACATTAGTGCCTCCACTCTCTACAATGAACCTCTCAGGTTTGAATTTAAGGGGATCTCT